AGAAGGGACAAAAGTGTTGGAAATAATCAAGTGTGAGTGAGTGGTGGTGAAATAAGTTCCACATAGGCTAGACATAGACCAAGTGATGACCATATAACTGCAAAAGACCCATAAACCTACAGCCTTAAGGTTTTGGGTTGAGATGTGGTGTCGGCCCACTTATTATGGTTTGTCATTTGGCCCATTGGTGGATGTATCCTTTGCAAAAGGTTTTGGGCTCCCCGTACCATTCCCAACAGTGGTATCAGAGCCAATGATCTGGGCTGGGCCAAGTGTGTTTGGAAGGCCTCTGCAGAAGGCTAGTGTGACCCTAATATTTGAAGAAAAAAAAAGACTTCCGCAGAAGTTGACCTTAGAGTAAGAATGATAATGGGCCTCACACTTGAGGGAGGATGTTGGAAATAATCAAGTGTGAGTGAGTGGTGGTGAAATAAGTTCCACATAGGCTAGACATAGACCAAGTGATGACCATATAACTGCAAAAGACCCATAAACCTACAGCCTTAAGGTTTTGGGTTGAGATGTGGTGTCGGCCCACTTATTATGGTTTGTCATTTGGCCCATTGGTGGATGTATCCTTTGCAAAAGGTTTTGGGCTCCCTCATTCCATTTCCCAACAAAAAGAAGATGTGAAACCAAATTACTAAAGTCTAAAAGTTGAAAATTGAAAGAAAAATTTATTGAATTGGGGGTTAATTTGTATGAAAAATTTTTAAATCTAAGAACGCAATAAAAGGTAATTGGATAGGTTCGATATAAAGTGAACCAATTTTTTAAATAAATCCAAACTAACTTAATTAATTTGATTTAGATTATCAGGATTCTTCCCAATTACAAGAAAAAGATGACAAAAATTTGCTAAATGACAAAAAAAGAAAAGAAAAAAAAAAGAAGCAATGAAGATGAATAGTTAATTACAAGGAAGCCCTTGCTATAGTATTTTTACCAAAAAAGGGAAGCAAGTAAGAGGCAACAATAATTTAAAAGGCCCCAAAAGAAGGGTCATAGACATAGTGAGTAAAGGGAGGGAGTGGGGGGTGGGTGATGAGAGGGGACAAGAACCCATTATCAATATCATCGTCTTTACACACATAACATGGAAAGATCCCATGACAATGGGGCACGCAGCAGCAAAGCCATATCGTGAAATTTTTGGATATATTATCAACAACAGCAACACAGAGAGCGCAGGCACAAAGTTGCAGTCATGCACGTCACGTACCGCATGTGCTTGGTTTCATCACCCACATGCACACTCACTATATCTTCCCTTCCTAGCCATTCATATGTTACACTTCTTCTTCTTTCTATCATAACTTTGGCACTCTCCTCTACCTATATATATATAACCTTATATTATTATTATCATCATTATAATAAATTAGTATTGAGTAATGCCGACATTGGCCATACACCAACGTGTACATACAGTGTACTTTGTGTGTACCCTTTCTTTAAATATCTCGTCACTTTCTGAAAGCCTGAAAGCTAAGTGTTTGTTTGGCATGTACATATCCTATAGCCATGCAAAACACAAGCCTTTTTCTTTCTCTATTTTCCTTTTTTCTTTAATAAAAAAAGCTAAATTGTGATGAAAATTTATAAGTAAAATAAGTTATTATTTTTTATTCCTTATTTATTTCTTGTCACAATTGATTATGAAATATTTGTAATTACTTTCATATAAAAAGCTTTAATATCATATAATATATATTTTTTGGGTTTGAAAATTGAAAGTAGAATCAGTGAGTCACATGGCCTTTTAAAAGTGCGAACAAATAAGACGGGCTTATAGTTTCAATCAATAGACGGTAGTTTATTGTTTCTTTTTTTTTCTTTCTATTTTTGTTATTACCAATAGTCAATAGGTAGTAACTAATAGCTATCAATTAGGCGGATAAAGTTGACGTATAATGTCAAAGGTTCAAACAAAAAATGTAAGTACTATTTTGTTATTTCGTTAATATTAATAATTTTGCTAAAACATATTATATATTGGTCATTTTATTTTTGCAACTACGACGGAAAAGGAGAAGGATTATAAAAATATATATTTAAGTGTGATAATTTTCAACATAACCTCTTCACATGACACGATTATCATATATATGATAGATTCGTATTAGCTAAAATTAATATGAAAAAATTTGAATTGTGTTGCATGTCAACGTGCAAATATAAAATTAATTTGTGTTAATCTTTTTACATGTTAGTGTCGTGTTAATATAATATTTGTGAACGTAATATTTAATGTATGTATTGATTATTTATGTTGTGTTACATCAACTCACAAAAATAAAAAATTTAATACAATTTTAAATTTATGTTGTATTCATTTTAAATTTTTATTGCGTGAACCTAAATTGCCACCCAAGATATATTATTAGTTAGTAACATTTTCTTCTCCCTCTGTCACTTCTGTGCTATGTAGCACCGATACGACACGCGACACGTGACACGACACTCCGACACGTCAATCCTAAAAAATTATGGATTTCGACACGTTGGGACACGTTTTAATATTAAATAATATTTTAAATTTATATATGGTATATTTCATTTAATATTTAATAATTTAACAAAAAAATGAAATTAAATTAGTAATACCCATCAACACGTTATAAAGATGGAAGCTTTAATAAAATAAATAAGAACTGGGATGAGAGAGATATATAATATCAGATAGATAGATCAAATCATATTAGAGAGATCAGAGAGAAGAAGATACAACAAGAGCGTGATAGGAATTGACAACAATGATGCTGAGATGATCTCTTATCTACTTAAGGAGGAAAAAGACAAAAAGATAAAATTAATATGATCAGGTGGAAGCTTTATTAATATATTTTAACTTTTAAAAAAAATAAATTTTTTAAACAAAATAAAAAAAAAATAAAAAAATTACGAAAATGCCATTTGACCGTGTCGGACACGGTCAAATTCGCGTGTCGGAATGGTCAACGTGTCGGAAAAAGTCAACCGCGTGTCCGACACCGTGTCGGAGCGTGTCGTCGTGTCGGAGCATGTCGGACCCGACTCTTCCTGTTTTTACAAGTGTCCGTGCTTCCTTGCTTCTGTGTATCTCTATTACTCTATTTCTAGTTTTCTACTACACATACAGGCCATAAAGGTATCAACGATTGGTTCATCATTAGTTACTTTATCTTTTAGGGTTACATATCCATTAAAAAAAAATATTACACAAAAATCAAAGGATATGATAAAGAAAATAATATTTTCCCTGTCTTTTATATATGTTTTCCGATTTAATTTTTTGTTGAAGGATAGAAAATAATAACAATATATAGTACATATATAGAGTTGACCTAGTAAGCGTAGTAGCACGATATGATCAAGCTTGAATCAGTTAAAAATTGACTTTGATCACCATGCTTAATGGGAACCTAGGAAGATGAATATTACATAATTGACCCGTGAATAGTATTACTGTATACACAAAGTGTGGAGCCCATGGAAGAGGAAATGTCTAGGATCAGGTGGACAGTTATATCAGCCCTCAATGTGTACCTAATTCTTTGTTTATTTAACACTCCCTCCCAACTCTACTCACATGACCTTGCTGCACCATTTTGCAAGCTAAGCACCCATTTATTCTTTTAATTCCTCTTAATATTATTTATTTATTTTTTCTGCCCCTCCCACGTTGGTTTCATAATTTCATTCTTCCCTTTCCTTTAACGCACTTCCATGTACATGGTACGTACAGAGGACGATGTGTAACTGGCTAGTGGCTAACCATGAAATCTTTTAATTTTTGTAATTTCACTGAAATCCATGTAATACTTTTATTTCACAGTTCTTCCCTAATCCCAATCAATTTGGGTCATCGGTACACTCGCTCACAATGCACACAACCAACGACTTCAATTCGGCCTTAAAATTTGTTGGTGTGTAAAATTGGATGAAGTTCACATTCGTATATATACAGTACTAGTCTGTTCAAACGAAGCTCAAGTATCAATATCAAGAGAAGTTTATTTATTTTTTTAAAAATATAAAGTTATTTAAATTCCCTTGTGAACAGAAAAAATACTAGAATCACAACAATCGACCAGTTTATTGGAGTGATGATGAAGAGTTACCCACTTTTTTGATAAGGGAAAAGATGGACACACTGTTTCATGATTACTAATTGACCAAATTATCTATCAAGCAAACTATCTTTTCCTGCTAATTATTATTATGAATAAATACGCAAAATCCCATTGTATTTAAACAATCTGGGTAGTTCCATATATACTTCATATGGCCCATTGGTTTTTAAGCAAAGTGATGCAGCATTTTCTTCGCGGTGTTTTCTTTTACGTATAAATTCCCTTTTATATAAATAAATGCTTCTTCGTCTTCCTTTTTTTAATATTTTTTCAAATGATATGCATATTTAATGTAAAATTCATTTCCGTTTTCTGAGTAGAGTTTTACACTCAATTTAAAGTTCATATATATAATTAGTATGCATAATTAATGTATATTTAATTATCACTTCAATTTCTCAATAATTAAAATAAATGGAACATATAATTAAGTGCTAAAATATTAATCAGTGTAATTTGTTTTGGTAAAATTAGTGTAATTTTACATTGTCATTACATAGTTGTATTAAATATTTTCTTGAACTTTTATTTATGCTTGTTTCCAATAAAAATGAGATTTTGATTCTAAATTTGCCAAATTCGGCAAAGAAAACAATCGAGAGTTGATTCTACAATCGAATAAGCTCTTCTTCCCCATTTTATCCCCTCCCCTCAATTCTACAACTTTTTTTTTTCTTTTTTTTTTCTGACTTTCTGCCATAAAGGAAAAAGAGAAAATTAAAAAAAAAAAAAAAAAAAAGAAGCTACAAATTCAAATTTATAAGACAAAATTTTTCAGATAATAAAGAAAAAGAGGTAATGCTGAAGCTGAAGCTGATGATGATCATAACTGTTAAACTTAAGACTTCCCAAGTTCCACCCTAAATTAAACTAGGCTAGCACTCACTAGATAACGTGCCTAAAATCAGAACCACAATGGTGATGATGATGATGATGATGAATCAAGAACTCATCTCCACCGTTGGATACGCCGAAAATTGAAGTCTGATTGAGAAGTTGCTGATGCTGCTGTCGTTGCATCTCCTTCTGCCTCCTCAGCTCCAAAACCTTCCTATGCGAATTCGAATGCTTCGTCGACACGAACGTCGGGCTCGCCGCCGGCCGGTACTCCGCCACCAACCTCCCTGACTTGAACCTCACGCCGCACGCATTGCACAGCGTCTTCGGTCCCATCGGTCCCGTTCGCCATTGCGGCGTCTTCTCCGCTCCACAGTGCAAGCATTTCCGCCCCGAGCACTCCGCATTCAAACCCTCCCTCTTCTTCGCCGGCGCCGCCTTCGGTTGCGCCGTACCGTCGGCGGGAGCCACGAGGTGAAGGAGGCGCGTGGACCAGTCTCCCGGCGCGGCGCGTGAACGCTTGCTCCTCGCCTTCCCCGGGAGCGGGGTTTCCTGACGGAGAAACGGCGCGTTTCGAGCGGAGTCGTCCGCAGCGAACGGCGGGAGCGTGTCGGTGGAAGAGGACGACTCCAGTGTCTGCTGTCCACCGCCATTCGCGGCGGCGCCGGAGAGAAGCTGGAGTGTTTTCAGCTCCTCTTCGGCGGAGAACGAGTCTTCCACGAAGTTCGAGAGCCATTCCAGTTCCGCCATGTCATCATACTGTTACAAAAATCAAATTCAATTTTCAAATTAATTAATACTTTAATTCAAATTATTTATAATTATTCCGTTAAGTTTTTTTTAATTCATAATTTTTTTAAGTTCTGTGAATTATTACCGGAACACAGAGTTCTCCGGAGAATTGAGGATCGCCGGTGAAGCCGCCGCGAGGAACAATGTTGGAAATTGAGGAGTTGCAGCTGTCGACGGCGGTGACGGTGGAAGAGTCGGTGGAGTTTCCGGCGACATTTTCGAAGAAACCGTCGGACATAATAACGTCGGCATTGGAGAAGTCGAGGAGGTCGTCGATAGCGAAAGGCTCGCCGGGCTTCTGGTCGCCGTGCCGCTTCTCCGGAGCCGAGAATTGGTCCGCTCCTCCGGCGCCAAAATAGCCACCGACGTAGTATTCCGGCGCTTCCATTTTACTTACAATAGATACTGTCGAGGTGCGAGAAAGACGGAGAGAGAAAGAGAGAGAGAAGTTACTCTAAATTTAGAGAGAGAAAGAGAAAGAGCGCACCGTTTTGAGAGAAGGATTGAAGGATTGTGTCTGAGAGAGAGGTGCGAGTGTTGGTGGGGTTTTGAGGACTAAAGCAATGGCAGAAATGTAAATTCTCCGACATTTGAGCATCTTTTTTTTTCATGCACACAGATACATACATACATGTATTATTATTATTAATAATAGGGGAAGTGACTTGCAAGTTCTGTAAAGTTAATTAATCCACTTTAATTTCAGATTTTCTTTTCTTGTTTCTCTCTTTTTACTTTCTATTTATATTTAATATTCTTTAAAATTAAAACAAATCAAAATGGGTAAAGCTAATGTCATGTTACATAATTTAGATAATTTTTCCTACTCAAACAAAAATATAGATGGGTCCCACACATATAATAAAAACAAAAAGTAAAAAATGTTGGTGCGGACACCAATAGGTAAGTGGATAAAAAACTTCATATCATGTTACATGTTACTAGTTTTTCTCAATCAAAATTATTGTTGCTCTTTGACTCTTTCTCTCAAACTTGGAAGAGACCATGATGATAATGAGTTACTGGTTTTTGTAGACATTATGGGGATAACCATGTCAACAACCCTGCCAAAATATAGGTAGTAATTTAAGTGCAATTACACGTTAAATAGTCAAGTATTAAAAAATTAAACATGTTGTTTTTTATCCGTCTTGTTTTAAAATAACTGTCCCTTTAAGAATTTTAATTTATTTTGAATCATTTATTATTTAAAAAAAATATGAAAGCATTAAGTTTTTTTTAATTTTATTTTGTCTCTTGGTTCATTAAGTTGAATGAGAAAAAAATTAATGAGATAAAAGAATAATTTAGTCAAACATGATTGTATTTCTTAAAGAATTTAGGGTATTTAATCACTTTCTTAAATTTATTTACATTATGTAATAATAATAATAATTTAGAAATAAAATGAGTGTGTATGTAATTCGTACCAATAAAATATTTAAAAACATTTAAGGGTCTTTGTGATCAGTGCATTATTTTTTTGTAAGAATATCATTAGTTGATTGCTTGATATATGACATTGTCAACTTATAGTTAAAAGAAAATTCATTTAAATTATTGAAATTCCATGCAAATAAAATAGCACTGCACACTGACATAGCACTAATTACTTTGTTTTGAGATTCTTTATCTTTGAAGAATTGGTGTGTTAGGAAAGTGTTAACTATTAATAAAAGTTTTGTATGAAAGTAAAAGATGAACAGAAAAAAAAAGAGAAAGAGAGGGATTAGTTGATGCAATGAATAAAGATCATGTGGTGTGAACAGGAATCAAGTGTTAAGCTGCAGCACAATGGTGGGCTGTCACTTAGAAAGAAAACAGCTATGGCCACAGACACACTCTGCTCACTTTACTTAACATATCAGTTTGAGACACTAAATTGGGTGATAAAGTAAAACCACTAAGCAGAGACCTTAATAGTTTATGGTAAATTATTGGATAATTAATGCCTTAATTAACAATGATTAAAAGGGATGAATTTAATGTTCAACAAATTCAACCCCTAAAGAATCGATCCTCTTGCAGGACTTGTCGCTGTGACTCCGCCAATAGTGTCCAAAGTTTACAGCCAGACTCCTCTGCTGCTAATAATATTATTACTTCGGGAAATGTGCAAAATTTTAATTTATTTATTTCATTCTGATTTATTACATTAATTTAGTTCAATTAATTGTACTTTCTACCCCTCTTGCCCTATCATGGCCTCTTATTATATTCCACTCCTCACGTTTTAGCACGACGCTTACAGCTCAACTTAATCCAAATATGCCCATGATCTCATCCACGTGGCTACTTAGCAAGATTTTTACTTTAATCTCACCTGCTACATTGTCTAAAATGGGGGTCATTCTATGATTACTGTTTTTCCTTTTATCTGTTATTTATTTTTTATTTTTTGGGTAATTAAAATAGGAAGTATTTGGTAACTTTATTATTAGTATAACATTGTGTTATTTGTACTATCATGCATTTGGAAGTACACATAACACCTCACGAAAAGGTTGCCGAGACTATGAAGTTGGGTTTAAAGATACAAAATTTAGATTTATTTTTTTAATATGACTAATTAGATTAGCGTTCGTGTGATTTGTGAAGTTTAATTTTAACAAAGGAAAATGATTAATTTATCTTTGGGTCCTTCAAATTGTGAATAAATCTTTAGTACTACTATTGTATCAAAGATTTAGTACATTCCACTAATAAAAATATTATATGTTAGCTAATTTTTTTTTTCTGTCAAATTTTTTCTCTCCTTTAATGTGTAATGTTCTCATTGATGAGATGTACTGAATTTAGATAAGCAGTAACACCAAAAATTTATTCCAAAGTTGTATATCTATACTGACTTATACAAATTCAAGAACATTTTGATGTAAAATCATGTGGCTGCTGCTGCTAGAGCAAGCATTTTACTTTATTTTTGAATTTTATATACAAAATGATGAAAACAAGGTTTGAGTCAGATGGGCCGGACTCATGCAACTCTGATCCCCATGTTAATGAAACCTCATTAACTAGTGGATAAGGTTTGCTTGCAGAATTATTACCGTCATTTTTAAAAAGAATAAAAAATTATAATACCCTTTTAGTTGTTATTTTGCGTTCACTTGTTGCATATTTTAGGTAAAAAATAAGGCTTTACATTTCTCATTTGACGTAAGGTTAAAAAAAATTCTACACACACATAATTCAAATGAGTTCCACGAAAAATAAAAAATAAAAAAAATATTACACGTAAAACGATATCTCACTAACATGAGAATACAATTTTTCTATTGAAAGAGAAATAGTTTTCCGAAAAAATAAAGCAAACAAATACCATTTAATTAGTGGGGAAAATTCTTGGTGGTTGTTTAAATATGTAAAATATACGTTGCAGTGGTTTATCTTTATTGGTGTGATTTTCAATTAAAAAAATAGTGGGATACTGGGAGCACGCGAGAAAGAAAGAAGGGTGTCAGCTATCATGTGAGTGTTGAGTATGAGGGTGTGGGTGAGGCTTCTCAATTAAGCTTAAGTAAAAGGTCGGTTCCAAGGGGAGGGGATCCTAAATTGAAGAGGGTTTTTTCCCTTCATCGCTTTCCTTTGCTGCTTCCCCTCCACACGTGCGTACTCTTCACCCATGTCCCATTGCTAACATGGTACCACGTGCACCGCATTCAATAAATTATACACGCATCTTCAAATTGCCAATTTAACGCAACTATATTGAGTATGAATATCCCTTTCTTTTTTTGTAGTTTTAATTGTTCATGGTTTACATAAACACGACTCTTGCTGTTTGAGACTATCTAGTGCGCCATTATGCCCAAATAGGTGATAAGCAATAAGAATAAGCCCAATGGGCCAAGGCAACATATGCAAACACTAGTGAGTAATGACCAAACAATCTACGTACAAAAATATTGTGGCCTTTATGCCCCCTGCTGCACCGAAATATATTTTATGATCCAGATCACCTAATAATTTGGTGCTCTCTCTCATAATATGTTTTCATCTTTTTCAATTTTATCTTTTCATTTATACTAAGGGATCACTTAAAAAATGGTGGTCCAAATCATAATAAATTATCTCCTGCATTGATTTCCTAACACTTTATCGCTTAGGCCTAAAATTTGACGGATACATCAAACCCATTAGAAATCTACTGATATACCAAAACAAAGTAAAATACTATATCTAGAGATTGTCCTTTTCAAATTAACGTTAGAAGCTAATACGTCAACCTCTCTTTTAATAGTCGCCGCTAGAACTTAAATTATACCCTTTTGTATAAAAATAAAAATAAAAATCTTTACATCGAACCAAATGGACGAAAATTCCTATTTATAAGCTAAGATGCATATTCACACCTTAATTGACAGGTTTATGCTAGAATGACCCACAGTGGGAACCCAACCCAACAAAGAAAAAGCCCATATCGCGAAACAACACTGAATGATTGTGCATGCAATTTTTAGTAAAAGATAATTCTGAAAAAGGGTAAAAAATAAATAAAAAATAATCATGTAAAATGTGGCACATGATCCTCCAGCATATCACTAGCTTGATTTTCAAAGTTATGACTTGTGGTCCCCACTTTTTATTTCCTATCATAGCGTCGTCTTTTACGGCTTCATCTGCCTGTCCCAATTGAGATTCGAGAATCTGCATTTACCTAATAGACTCAAAGCCCTGTGAATAATACTCAACGAGCCTATGTTTTAGGCTATGTCATGTGCATATCACATGATGAGCATCACAAGGAGAAGTGAGACAAATAAAAAAGGTTGGTTAATGCTTAATTCTTAATTCAGTGAATGAATTGAAGAATCAAAATAAGAGGGTGGATATGGTGCATAAGTGCAACAGTGCGTAACACGCAATTATTCATTCATTGGTCAAATATGTGACGCCCGGATGGATGGAGTGACACTGATGTCAGTGCTGTAGCCTGTGGATGCTTCGGAACAATGTTATTAGAACCGGATCAGTCATTGACTCGGTTGAGGTACTGGGTCAATGGTTCAATCGGTGAGTCACTGGTTGAATCGCATGAATCGGATATATATATATAAATTTATATTTTAAATGGTGCTATCTAAATAATAACCTGGTGTAGTTTAGTGGTATTTGCTATGTTGCACAATCTCAATGGAAGGGGCTCAAATCCCATTAGATGTGATTTTTGAAATAACTCTCTTAACTTAATAGTTATATAATAAATATATTAAATGGTGTATTAATCTCAACCAATAACGGTGGCTTAGTGGTATGAGAAGGTGCTCCTCACACCAATGAGCAGGGTTCGAATCCCACCTATTTCAAAAAAATATTTTGAAACCAATTTTAAAAAACCGGTACCTGATGGGCCGATTTCCGGGCCAACCGACCGGCTGAGCCGGT